CGGAAAGAGGTGACGAAATTGGGAACGTAAGGCGTTACTAGATAGAGTTTTAAAAGCTCTTCCAAAAACTTGTAAACGAACGCACCTAACCGTTTCATTTTGTTGTAGGGTATTATTGAGCGTTATCAATTGTACATGTTATCACAGACTTTGCAAACCCGCGCATTGTATGTAGCTCTGTTTGAATGATACCCAGAGGTTTTTATGACTTCAATTCATTCTACTACGTCATACGTTCGTGTCCGGCGCTGCTTACAATAAACCTACATATACTGTGTCCTTCGACTGTCTACAAGGAGCTCATCTACAACTGGCGGCTACCTACAACAGAGTGGTGTACCCTAACCACTTCTTTATCTGTCCATTCTCGCTACATATTTGTGATAGTCCAAATTTATTCAGGCATACCTATCTTCGAAAAACTTCATTCATCGCGATGTCGCCGCTCGTAATGTACTGCTCACGAAGCACTTGGTTGCCAAGGTGAGTCAGTTTCAAAGATTTGGAGATTCCCCAGCACCCGATAGGATAGAAACGTACTCAAAAAAGTCGCAAAACCTCCCCAGATAGATCAGAGACGTTGCTCGTGAGAGGTTACATTGCTGAAAAACGCCTGTGTCAAAGACCCGTTTCGTAAAAAGTCTGACCGTACGAAGGATCTAGTATTTTCGTTCATATAATATTTATATTCGACCATGTCCATAACCGAATTCTCTCCGAAACGCTACTGAACACCTTTTTCAGGTAAGCGACTTCGGCCTCGGCCGCTATGCGGATTCAGCCCTTTATACGGCACGAGGCGGACGTCTGCCTTTCAAGTCCATGGCATTGGAGGCACTCAAATACTACGAATTTTCTGAAAAGACCGATGTGTTGGTGAAACGAGCTACCTACTGGACCAATGTCCTCAAAGCAAGCCATCTGGAGTCATTTCAGATGGGCATTCGCAATTCTGCTATTCGAGATCTTCTCACTTGGCAGTGTACCATACCCGACCGTTCAGCCAGTGGATATGATATCCTATATTGAACAAGGGAATCGTCCACCTCAACCGGAGAAATGTCCGAATGAGATGTGAGTTCCGCACAGTATTACTCACCACTGTTATTCAGTTCGGGACAGGAAAATATAAAATAGGTGTCACTACCACTTTTTCTAATGTCCTAAAAGAAAGAAAACTGATTTAAAAACATGAAGCAGACCTTACCCTTACCCTTCTTAACCATGAAAAAAAAATTTAAATCTCTGAAGTTTCCTTGTATGGCTTGGATTTCTTAGATGAACTTTTTCGTCCCGACATGCTTAGTTGTGAAATCATTCGGGAGGAAGTGTCATTACAAAAAAACACCTTCCTGATGCCGGAAAGGCTAATCTCACTTAGAGAGTTTACTCGTTCCCGAAAAACACTCAAAAATCGAGGTGCTCCGAGAAAGACAGGGTTCTAAAAGTAGTTGAACTACGGGTTGGACGAGAATGTGACGATAAAGTTACATAGAAGCGATATCTGGACGAGTTGTCCTAATAAGTGTGCCATTGCGCGCAACTGGCTACACTAATCTGCCTACTTGCAACCGTGATACATCCCGATGCAAATGGTGCAACCTCTACAGCCTCTACAACGTTGTGAAAACTCGTCCGCCTTTAGGTGTGTACGTCGGCTAAGCCGGTTTTGGGGTCCCTGTAAACCCCTATCTGAGCCGTTCCTCGGTCCGACAGCGTCCCTTCTGTTATTACGGGTCAAAAGCTCATCCTAGTGAGAAGTCTCAGAAACTGTTTGTCCTGAACTATGCCTTCAAACCAGTATGTTCAGATTCAAGTTGATGAAAAGATGTTGGCAAGCCGACCCAAATGATCGTCCAACGTTTGCTGAGGTAGGAGGTCGCTTCAATGGTTGCAAATACCTCTTGAAATCATTATAAGACGATTCACTTACAGATTCGAGGTGAACTGACCATTCTCCTGAATATCGACGACGAAAGTTACGGCTATTTAAATCTTGATAGCGACAAGAAATCCCGTCAAATTCGTGATATGATTAATAGACAGGTACTTTTTCATGATTCAAAATTCCTAAAGATTCTGGCAACTGGCGCCGCAAGGGCCAATGCGTCAAGGTCATCTGTGGACCAAATACCGGCTGCGCCTAATAAATCCACTACCTCTGAAGTGGTCGGTTCGTAGCAGAATAGTAGTTAGTGACCGTAGACCAGCTCGCACTTCCCATTCCCCCTTATTCACTATCCGGGTCAACACGGATTAAAATCATGCATTTAATGTGATTCTAAACCCGGCTTTTCCTCGTTTTTGACTTAAATCTGGGAAAGCTCTCCAAATGCATTTGCCTTTACTGCAAATCATTCATCATCAAATCATCATCATCATCATCATCAAATCATCATCAGAAAAACTCCTTCGATGTAATAATTTTAAAAAATTAAGATAACAGAACTTCACACCCCAGACGATGGCGAATCGAATGCGTTGGAAGGACTGGATGACGCGGATAAAACGACAGTTCTAGAAGACATTGTTATGGGACTGTCTCAAACGTTTGTTTCTTAAATTTCTTTTAAACTATGTAAAATAACTATATCACAGTAATTCCTCTTACCGGTATCAAAAAAGTCTAAGAAAACGGTGTGATTCTCCTTTTCCGCCAAGGATAAAAAGGAACCGGTTGATGTATACAAACTAGGCAAAGATACAACTGACCCTCTTTGAAGAAAACGTCAACAGTCGCTGTGATATCAGTTTTTCAAAGAGAAGAGGCCTGAAGAGGTTCTTGAAAAGAGGCCAGTCGGTTGGCTAATAGTAAGCCAGACCATTAATTCAGTATCAGTACTGATCGATCAGGATCTCGAAAGACCGTAATAGTGGCTTGTACAGGGTGTATATCTAAGAATCACGCTACGTAGACAATTTATAATAGAAAAGATCTAATAAAAGATTTTAGAGATAAAGAGGAGATAAAAGTGTGGTTTACCTCCAATGAAGGCAGATCTAAGCTGTCTGCTCACTGGTGGATCGATAGTGATCGCCAATCAACACAATCAATCAATAAATGATTCGCCCTACCATTTCACTTACATTCAGACCCGCTGTACCTTCGTGCATTCACGCTTCGATATCATAGTGACTGTGGTGTAAAGGCAAATAGCGCTATTAGCACACACCGTGGATCTCGGGTAGAATCCTGGATCGGTACTCGTCTAGGCCAACCAAACATTCCAACCCTCAGCAGCCGATTAGTTGGGACCGGAGTCGCTTGCGAGGATAGAAGAACTGACTTGTAAATTGGCTGACTACCGCAAGTCATTGTATAGATCATATAAGCATTCAGAACGCTATTCTGAGTGACGGTTAAAAGCAGAGCCCATCCCAGAAACGGATTGATCAATGCCAAAAACTTCACCCTTTATAAACTTAGCTTGTGAAAAATTGAGAGGACATTCTAAATACTATCGTAACTGGGTTTTCGTTCTAGGGAGGACAGCATGTTTACTGAGAAAGACGGACCAAGGATCCAATGTCCACAGGAAGACGACGCTAATCAAGGATCAGAGCCACTTTTCACCACTATGTGCGAGGGCATATCGGACGGACCACCAATATTACCTTCAAGCTACATATTACCATCGTACTCACATTTACCCAATACAGTAGCATTCAGTCCACGACCTGGTTGCCCAGAGAACGACAATCCATTTGATTTTGTAAATAACAACTTTCCACAAATAGTAAACCTAAAACGAGACCATATTGTACTATCAATAGAGGAACAAATACATCACAAACTAGTCGAAGGTTGTTCGTCGATTCGATAAAACATTGATCAACTTTGCGAAAATCATTGTTGAACAAAACTCGGAGAATATCGGTATTCAGTCATTAATTTTTATAAAATTTTTACTTTCAAAATGTTTCACATCACAAAGACTGGAATACGTTTTGAATATTGGCAGTAGAAGACAACAAAACCAAAAAGAGGTAAAAAGCTTAAAACCCGAGAAAATTGCACTAGAAGGCGAATGCATTACGATAATTTCATGAAATATATAACCATACAGAGAAAAAATTAACAAGCTAACATTCCCATGCAGCGTGTTCAAAAAATAAAATCATTTTTGCAACTCTAAGAAACTGGACCAAAAATGCAGCGCAAAACACTTCATTAAATCTACTTATCTACATCATAGCAACAATCGACGGCTCTGATTTACCTCAACACAATTTTGCTCCACTCAACGTGGCGGACCTTGTGGTCTTCTTGGGAACGCAGGTTCCACGGTAACAGCGGGATGCGCCCTTGGTTGCTCTGTCATCATAGATGGAGGAGGTCTGCGAGGCGGGAATGCCGGCTCCACCACTACTGGAGGAAGTGGCCCTGGTGCTTGAGAACCACCCGAAACGCGAACCTTAAGTCAAAATTCAAAATTAGGCCTTTCCATGAACTATGTGATTTTCTTTTTATAACACGAACCGCTTTCAACTCTTTTTCTTTTCATTTCCTCATATTAAGCTACGAAACAAATTAAGGGAGATTCCCAAAGGACATGCAATCTTCATGTCTGATTCACTTGAAAAGCTAGACTATGAGCTAAACTGCTAAGTCACAAAGTCACAAAGTATAAAAATACTGGAAATCAGATATCATGGCTAAACTCACGTTTGGAGGCACGTTTACAGGATGCTGACCACTTTGG